AATCCGTGCTTAAGGTCTAACTTGTACATAGTTAAGTATTTTCTAGTGAGCCTCAATGGCTGTATGAAGCACTAGTGCTTTTTCACTCGAGATGTACATAACAATAATGGTATTGCGTGATCGCATTATACCGCTTGACGCAACATCCATGTTATTTATAACAATAATGTTTACTCTTCAAATAAATAGTTTATAGAAAATTATGGCCTCGTTGTATCTCTTTATTAAACACCAAAGTAGCTGATTCTACGCTAGGCAAAATCGTTGGGCGTTGCCAGTTTTGCCAAATTAAAAGGTGGTGGAAAAGATTGACTCTTTCCTGAATCATTAACGACAAAGCATTGCCTCCAATTTCTCAGCTATGAAACTTCTATGGGTGTTTGTAACATCTAAGGGTAACATCTCATAAATCGAAACATATTTGTTTACTTTATCTCAAATGACTCGCGGCTTCTTTACTGTCCGTGCCAGATAACATTCAGCTGCACTTGAAACTATTGTGTTTATAAAACCTTGTTAGAACAACCGAAAAAAACCTCGGATAGAAATATTTCAAGCTGTAGGGACCAAATTTTCTAACTACCTATGAACCAATTTGGAGAAGGGTTTTCATGCTTATTGTAAACACACGATGAATATTTTAGATTTCGCTGTTTTTATCTACAACGCTGATTTGCCCTAAGTGAACTTCTAACCGATAGCGATCAAGTTATCTAGGGAATGTTGCCATGTAATATGGATATATTCTTCTTGCAAGCAATTTCTATTTGCTACGTGTGTTCTCACGCATTCCAGTTTGTTCGCATGGAATCTGTTTTTCTACGACGCAAAAAATGGGAGAAAAAACGCATAATTCGGTCACCCGTTGCCATCGAAGTTAATCTGCGTTCGCTCAAGACACACCTAAATATTTGCCTCAAGAATTTTTTTTGGAGACAAGAGAAGTTACCCGCATGGAAAACACGATAAGTTTTTAATCCTGAAGTCCTTTGGCAACGTATAACATTACGGTCTTATCTCTAAGATCCAAACTAGGTAATCTGGAAGGAGACAATTTCCGACATGACAGATGGGTATGAGTGAGGGCTTCTGGCTGAAATCTCTTGTGATATCTGTTCGTGATCAGTCAAAGTCAGCGAAACTTAATTAGAAAGAATTACATCTCTCGGTGCTAAGAACTTATTAGAACTTAAAAGAACATTAGCTCCCAATAAAACTTTGAAATGTTTCGCAAAAGAAGTTCTCTCTTTTGCAAAAGGGCATCAAAACAGTTTTTGGCGGCTTCTTGGCAAGCAAAAAGCTTTTCAACAGTCGATCATGTGAATCGCTTTATCTCCTTTCCTATTGGTCCGTCGTTTGAAGGAAACTCTCAGATAGCGAGAAAACGTTGCCACGCCTACTCACGTTTAATCAGTGTTTGTTTACGGGGTATTTTACAAGAACATCTATTTAACGAAATCATCGCCCTTTTCGCTCATAAGCTCTGAGTAACTACCAAATTTGGTCAGTTCAAATTCGAAATCATAATAATAGTTTCAGTCTTTGGCTGGAAATAATATGTTCCAGTTTAGAATTTTCCCACACTCTAAAATAGCTGAAGGCATTTATGGGTCAAATGGCTTGACAGAGTGTGCAAGTTTGCAGCGCTGATAACGAATTTTATATGCATTTAGCTACTGTTTTGCCGGCACTAAAAAAAGTAACCGGGAATTACCAAGTGATATTTTTAAATGTCGACTTCTATTGAATTAACCTATGTAGCTGGCAAGAACTTAGTAGAAATGTTCAGAACGCACTTCAGTCGCTCAGTGAATCAAGATGTTTCGTTGCTTAAGCAAGACATAAGGTTTCTATCTTCAACAAGACTCGTACCCCTTGCTGTCGATGAAGTATTGTTGTAAGGCAAAGGAAACGCTTGAGGCGATAATAAACGTTTTAAAAACCGTTTTAGGAAATGATTAGGGCGACCTAGGTGAAAGCCTTCCTTCGTTCAACTACAGTCAAAATGACGCAGTTACGGTTTTGGAGGTCAGAAAAGTCGCGCTATAGCGAATTGTTTTTGGCGTATAATTGTACTCTCCAGAAATAATTTGTAAGATATGCAGGGCAATGAGTAATAATCCCCAATATCTGTCAGCTTCACTAACAAATCAGCGATATCCATTTATAACACCTGAGTGAGGAGAGCAATTATGGGAGCAAATTTTCGTGACCAAGAAGACAACACGAGAGCTATCACTAATACTAAACAGACCGAAAATCTTGACCTTTAATTCTTGAACACAACCAGCGTTCAGCAGAGCTATAGTATAACATGCTTTTTTCTTAGGTTAAGAGTTTCAGAATCTTTGTCACGTATATTTTCGCCTTGTAAGCTGGGGGTGTTAAGACGTTTAAAGCAGTAATTGACACAAATTGATAGAAAGAATTAGAGTTTGCTGGTAAGCCACTTAAAAACGACACATTCCTTGTAAAACACAATGTAGTTAGGGAGCTGCCTGTTTTTAGCGCAGAATGTTTCAGTGTATGATATCCGCATTTGCAGACCTCACTTACGAATGTATTTTTTACACGGGTGTGATATAATCCAATATTTTCCCCATGTTACCAAATACTGATTGTATTAAATTGTAGATCGCTGCCATATTTCAGAGTCGTTATATTAATAGTTTGTCAGCGAATACCCCACACAACTTCAATGATAAGAAATTTAATGAAGGACTTTAAGATCAAGCAAACTTCGTACAAACGCTTGAAAGTTCAGGTTATTTTGTACGCCATTTAAGAGCACTTCACTGACATCCCAGCACGTGCGTGTGGTGACAAGAAAACCAGTCAAAACCTCCTGGCGTGTCACTAATTCCACACATTTCTTCACAACAAATGAAATACGGTTGACCATTTTGTCTCAGCTGAGTCAACTTAAATTTGTTTCCTTTTTGCGTGTTCAAAATTGAGGGAACGAAATCCTTAAAACATTACG